TGCAGTTATTTTATTACCATATTAAATACTTATAATAAACTCACTTAAAACTTAATGATTACTATTGTAGTTTTCAAAAGGAAATAAACGTTCTTCTTCCCTATCCAAGTTCAGAATCAACTAAGGGATAGATACAGAAGTTGGAAATATGGAGATTAAAGAATTGATTCATTTAGTCAGTACTTATTGAGCACCTAATAAATGCCAGGCACTATTTTCAATGCCAGAGGTAAAGCAAAAAAATAAAAGGGATGAAAACTCCTGCCCTTATGGAGCTTATATTTAGGGGGAGAAAGAAACAGGATAAAGAAATGAACTATATATTCTGTTAGACAGATAGTAAGTGTCATGGAGAGTAATACAGCAGAGTCGGGAGGCGGGAGAGAGTGTGGGCAGCCGTGGGCTCACCGAGGTCACATTTGAGCAAAGACGCGGAGGAGATGAGGGAGGAGCCGTGTGGATGGGTGAACGAGGCCCAGGCCTTGAGGTAGGAGCAGATTCCACCCTGGCGCAAAGCGGGAGCTCGGGGAGCTGGGGGAAGCTGGGTGGGAGGAGGAGGAATTCGGAGAGGTGGGGAGGGGCAGATCGGGAAAGGCTTGTAGGTTGTTGTAAGGAGTGTAGGTTTAACTGGAAGGACAGCTTTCTTTTGCTAAAACGTGGATGGGGGCGTGCCCCTGCGGCACAGTGGGCTCCCTGATACTGGATCCTTGAGCTGGACGACATGCCCCAGGCACAGGAACACTGCACGTCCTGAGCCTTTTCCACAGGGGCAAGGCCCTGAGCTTCTAGGAGCCTCACCTGCAAACCGAGAGTTCAGGAGGGGTAGAACTGAGAGGTTAAAACAGTGATATTTACCCTGTTTATTTCTAAAAATAATTTTAGTAGCTTTGAAATGGGAAACACAAAGAGACTAGAAATCTTGGGGAAAATGTACTCTTTGGACTGAATATACACACTTCATTGGGGGTTTAAGCTGATACTTTCCCAAGAATGCATAAAAAATGCAGCACTGTATTCCTAGTGCCTTAAAAATGTTTCACGTCAGTCTTTCGCTAGTCATACATTTGTATAAGGATAATGTAGTATTTCAATTGAGAAATTATATTCAGTTGATTTCTTTTTATAGTAGTATTTTAAGGGGCTGGTTTGAAGTGATTTAAATGCAAATTTTTAAATGACACTAGGAAAGATAAAACGATTGGTGTGTTGCTGATTTTTTTTTTTTT